CAAAAAGTGAAAATAATAAAAAATATGACATACAATATAATTATATTGAAAACATGGTCGTGAACATGACCTAGAACATGGCTGTGTTGAGAACATGGGCAAGAACATGGCTGTGTTGAGAACATGGGCAGGAACATGGCCTAGAACATGGCTGTGTTGAAAACATAGGCAGGAACATAGCTGTGTTCAGAACACGCCCAGGAACACGGGCAGGAACACGGGCGTGTTCAGAAGTGCAGGGTAATCAATACAGCCGTGTTGGCTGCCTGGGACGCTCAGTCACCTTCTGAGTCATTCAACACGGCTGTGTTCAGTCCCAGTTAACCGATTTGGGACTAAAATTGATAAATTTTCGTTTGAGTGGGACCAAAATTGATAATTTTTTTTAATGGGACTAAAATTGATAATTATGATATTGAATGGAACAAAAAATGATTTTTACTCTAACAATAGTGATGTGATATAATAATACTAGTGTGTTTAAAGTTAGATAGTACTATGATAATAATAATAATAATAATAATAATAATAACAATAATAATAATAATATATTTGAAAATATGTAAATAAATAGTACAATAATAAAATAATTGAAAATAAATTTGATGACACATAATAATAGTGATGTGATATAACAATGCAAGTGTGTTTAAATCTACATAGTACAATAACAACTATGATGTGATCTAACAATTCATGTGTGTTCAAACCTATCTAGTGCAATAATTAAGTAATTGGAAATAAATTTGATGACACATAATAATAGTGATGTGATCTAACAATGCAAGTGTGTTTAAATCTACATAGTACAATAATAATTATGATGTGATCTAACAATGCATGTGTGTTCAAATATATTTAGTACAATAATAAATTATGACGTGATCTAACAATACAATTAATAAAGAAAGCTCAACAAGACAAACTTTGAAATGATTGATCACTACTACAATGATAAAATAAATATTGTGATGTGATATAACAATGCATTTTAAAAAATTAAACAAGCCAAAAATAAATTGATTTGATTTAAAAAGACATAATATATATAAATAATATATAAGTTATAGTGTCTAAATTTTTCTATAAATGTGCTTGCATTTTACAAAATAAAATACACAAATTTTCATCAAAGATCTTTATATTTTCTCCCACTACTCTACATTCAAGTTTTAACAATGGAGCAAAACTCTAAAAAGTCTTCCAATTCTCAAAAGCCTTTTTCATTTCAAAGTTTTACGAACATGCTTGGAAATGAAGATTGTTCGCAAAACTCTTTCAATCCTAATGTTACTCAAAATTTTCAAACATCCGTCCCAAATTTCTATGCTTCATCGTATTCTTTTATTCCTCCACACTACTATTATCCTCAAAATTTTCAACCTTTTGTAGGTTCATCATATCCTCAAAATTTTCAATCATCTGGAGGTTTTTTTAATCCTCAAAATTTCCAATCATTTCAAGGTCCATTTCATCCCCCATCGATGGGTTTTACGCAAAATATACAAATGGAAAGTATTCCTAAATTTTGCACACAAGCCAATCAACAAGATGAAGATGACGTACAAATCATTGCTCCAACGACAGAGACCAAAAGAAAGTGGACTCGTGAAAAATATTTGCTTCTTATTAGTGGATGACTTAACACAAACAAAGATGCACTAATAGACATTGATAAAAAAAATACTACTTTTTGGAAAAAAAATTCTTAATATTTTAATGATAACAAATCTGAAGCAGGGGTGTCAAGAAGTGTAAACCAATACATGAATCGTTGGCAAAAAATAAATAAAGCCGTTTCAAAATTTGTTGGGTGCTTTCAACAAGCTAACCAACAAAATATGAGCGGAAAATCTTTTGATGATGTCTTGAATAAGGAACATCAAATATATTCTGCAGATTGTAAGAAAACATTTATTTATGAACACGCTTGGTGTGAATTAAAATTTGAGCCAAAATGGAGTACCAGTCATCGTGGTACAAATGTTGTCAATGAACCATCTTATGACAGTGAAGTTGGCCCGAAGAGAACTAAAATTAATGAAGATGGTGGATACTCGTCTAATTCAAATCCAACAACACCACATAGTGATGGAGTAGAAGAATCTCCCTTAATTCGTCCTCCGGTGTAAAAGCGTGTAAAAATAAAGACAAACGGGCACTGAAAAAATCTTCAAATTCACTTTCCTCCAATAATTTTGAAGAACTTCAAGCTCAAAGTAAAGAAGTTGCATAATAATTTGCTCGCATGACACAACTGAAGGTATTGCTAAAATGAAACTTTATTGAACACTGGTGGAGAAAGATAATTTGACGGAGCAGGATCTACTTGTTAAGGTTAAATTGTTCGAAGAGTTGTTTTAAATATTGTTTAAATTATATGTATTTTGTTCAATGTTATTCAAATTATCTTGTCTTTCATTTTATATTAATATCTTATTATTAATTATGTACGTATAATTAATTATAAACTAAATATATTTATTATTTAATATAATTTTATATTATTTAATTGCTTTAAAATTTATAATTATATTTTATTTAATAAATTAAATTAAATTTACTAATATTGATTTGTTCAATATAATTATATAATATTTGTATTTATATATTTTAAATTTTAGTTTGATAAAATATATTCAATATTGGTATCATTTTGTAGAATACAAAATATTATAAACTATAAAAATATTACAAAATTTAAATATAACAATAAATTTAATATAAATTAAAAAAACAAAATATATATAATATATATCATATATATACAATGGAATAAAAGTTGAGATGTGGGAAGCAACAAATCTGTCATTTTTTTATTTATTTTTATTTTTTAAATTGTGACGTGGGAGGAGATGCGCCGATGCGGATACAGAGATGTTGGGAAGCAACAAATCTGTTATTTATTTTTATTTTTTATTTTTTAAATTGTGACGTGGCGCATCGCCGATGCGGATGCTCTAATTGACCGATTTCATCATCATGTGGCCATTTCAGATTTTAAAGAATTCGCGCTTCAAGATTGTTAGGAAAATATATTCATCGAAATTTGAGATTCAAATCAAAATAAATTAATCAAATAAAATTTGAGATAAATAATTTATTATTCTTTTCTTATTTAATTAAATACCCAACGGATGTCTCATTCGTTCAAACTATCTCTATGTTGTGTTGATATCGTAGCGCTGTGTTACGTTATATAATAATTACATCATTTTGCATTCAAACTATTTGGGAAGAGAAAGTGCCATTAGGTACAGCGGTGGACCCATTTTAGGCACTTAAAAGGGCTTATTTTACCTTAAAAACATATATATTTATCTATAAAGTAAAATTTATAAATAATGTATAATATAAAAATATATATTAAAATTTGTTTGATTGTACTTATATTTGTGTTTTTTATTTAAATATATTTTAATATAATATTTTATATAAAAAAAATATTATTTTCGTCCATGAAATTAGTTTCGTTTTTTTATTGTTGTAGTCCCACCAATTTATTTTTATTTCTTAATAAACTAATAATTAACAAATAATAATATAAATAACAAACTTAACTAAATTCTATTAAATTATTAATATTTTTAACTTAGGAGTTTATTATGGTCACATATTTGAGAATAATTAAGATTGAGGTTGTAAATAATAAAATTTTAAATTAAAATAATTATCTGATATAATTTAAATAAGTACTGACACAATATTTATAAATATTTAATTATTTTTTTATAATATAAAAAATAAGATTGTGTTTGTTTGTATTTTTAATTTGAAGTATTTTTTTATGTTGAATATGAAAATCTTGCTGAAATATAATTAATAAGTTTTTTTATTAATTGTTAAATTTTTATAAGGATAGAGAGTATATATATTGTATTAATATTTATATATTATATTTTTTAATAATAGTAATCATAAATTGTTAAATTTTTATAAGGATAGAGAGTATATATATTGTATTAATGTTTATATATTATATTTTTTAATAATAGTAATCATAAAGTGTATCAAATAAATTTTGTTCAGGTATTTGATTTAATATTTTGGATGGACGAAAGAGTAACTAATGAGATTTGAATTTATATTTTATTTCTTCGAAAAATAAAAATAATATAAAAACCTACTATTGAAAGGGGCACATTTCTTTCCGTAACTGTTTTGGATAATAAACTATACGTCTAACAACAACGATATACACATGAGATTCTATGTTTTAACTTTATGAATTCGCTTTAACAAAAAACTTTCTTGAAAAAATATGAATTCCATAAATTTATTATTATTATTATTTTTTTCGTTAAAATCGTAGATATCAAATGAGAAATGTTATAACTTTGTATAACGGTGAACTCATACAAGAAAAGTAAGGTCATTCCTAATTTTCTCCTACATTTGTCTATCACTTTATTTCGTTTATATGAAATATGTTGATTCATTATGAATATTAATAAACTATATTTTGGAAATTGTAAAGGCATGAAAAAAAGAAACTAATATATTAAAGTGGTTTATAAAATGACATTAGCTAGAGCAATGACTTCAATTTTTCAAAATGTTATAAAATAATCGTTTTATACATTGGGAGAACAATGCCATATATTTAGTAAATGCCACAAAATATACCATTTACTATCATGTTATAAAATAATTCAACATTTCAAATAGAATCGCATTTCTTAAACTTTGATTTTTCAAAACAAGTTGTGTTTTGGAATGATGCATAGGGCATATACATGCCATATAGATAGTAATGTTACAAATTTTTTTTGCATAACATTAAGGCGTACTAATTTCGTCCAAAGTCCAATCAGATAAATATGAGCCCAAATTCAATAGCTCACTCCCTTAGGCCCAATCTTACACGATGTTGATTTTGTGACTGTCCGATCGAGGGATTAGATCTAGGCCATCAATTCCAATCTAACCTAAGTATATATATGTGTGATGTCTTGTAGCGCAGCCATATTCTTTAGATACATTTTCTCTTAACCATTCTTCTTGCTTGCTCTCTTGTCTTCTCCTCAGAGGATTTCTCTCATCTTCTTCCTCTATATAATGTTAAATATTGATTCGTGACCTCTATTATTGCGAGGTTTTGAGAGTCACCTTTCGATTTTCGTTAGCAAAACAAGTTGTTTCTATGTTTGTCTCCATAATTGGTGAGTGCTTCCTTTTTTAAGCGATTTTATGAAGTTTGATTTTTGTCCACTATTTTTTTTTCTTTTTTGATGACGTGGGAACCCGCAGCCGCTACCCGGAAGTACGCACTGGGTAAACCCCCGGCCGAATCTAATACCCTGCAAACTAGGCCCGACGGGAAAGTCACACTAGGCGAACCATGTGTGGCAGGTGACCTGATGCGTCGGGGACTTGTCCACTGTTAATTGAGGGAACAAGGTGTTTACATTGAAATGGGAGTTGTAAGCCGAAGGTTGTATGGGGATAGAGGCCGAAGAGCTATGAGTATCTGTTTTTATTTTATGACTTCAGTTTGAATCTGGTGCATTGATATCTTAGTAGTTGGGGTACATTGTAAAAGTATTTTTTGTTTGTGACGTGAGCCTTTTTCTTATTTGGAATCATTTTTATTTGGGGATATTATATTTGTTTTTTGTTGATTAAATTAATAAATTGATCCGAAAATATTTACAAATAATTTAAATATTTTCTTATTAAAAAATTGTATTACCAAACCTTTCTTAAATTTTCCTTATTTCTCCTATAACCACATATTTACTTCATATTATTTTAATAAAGCAACGTGCGCAGGCTTGTTTTGGAAGGTGGATAGAATCAATTAGAAATTTCAATGTTTTGGTGTGTGGGTGCGTATCACTGATCTAAAGAGAATTGCAATAGACCTTAAGCTTTTTCATAAAATGTATGCACATGAATCAGTTAAATCAAGCTTAGTATTCCACAATTTGTTAAATTAAAAAGGTAGTAATGGATCTTGTGTTGACTTGGCCTGACACATTTGTAGCATCTTTTGGTGTCGTTGTACGATTATTTGGAACAGTAGAAAGATTCATACTTAAATTTACATCTGTTTTGGTATTGGATGTGTATTTTTGTTACTTACCATAGCTATAGGCTGATATTGTTTGTTTACATCTTATGTTTATTACCAGGACACCAATCCACTACATTCGAATGCAAGTAAACAAAAGTCGATTGCCCATGCCGGTGCAAGTTCCAGTGCCCACGCGAATGCTGGAGTGAGTTCAAGTTCCCAACCACATATGCCGCACTCAGAGAAGCAATTTGGCTGGTGGTCTTCATTTAATCCAGATCCGAAGCAGAAAGCGACTCAAAAGGTAATCTATCCTATCGCTATTGATTATGAATGCCTCTCCGATATCATAACTAAGCTGATCATCGTCAATGTTGAGATATTTTAGATATTCAATTTTAGATTTAGTATATTTATACTTAAATTTGGTCTTATCCATAGATTAGGTTATTAGATTTGAGTCAATCAAGTTCGTTTTGTATTACCTATATATAGGCTCCATTGTTTTGATGATAAAAAACACAATCTCATTAGCAATCAAGTTTTTTTTTTTTTTTTGTTTCAAACATATTGAACAGGAACGGTCCTCGACAGGTAAACAAAGCCGTAATAGTTCAATGACAACAACCTCAGGAAGTGAAACCTGAAATTTGCTAAGATTCCCAGTTCAATTGCGGATCAGTTGTCATGCTTTCCTGCATTGGAAAAGCTGTCTATGTTCTTCTATGATATTAACTTTACTGGAACTATTTGTGTTTCTTCATTTAAATTAATAGAAGTCATAATATGTGTTTGTTTGGGGATGGAAGAATGCTCGGTTGTGCTTCAGAATGTTACCAACCTTTCAAGTTTTATATATATATGCCCTAGGTCATAATGAATTGAGTTTAATGTGCCAGCTCAAGCCCTTCCAGTTTGTTATCAACGTCAGGATTTTTTTTTTTGTGAATGCTCAAACACTCGCTGATTTAAATCGAGCTATTATTAAAGTCACCAAGGGACTTTCATGTAGTGAATTTGATTGACTGAGAGAATGGCTCATTGAGGAAAAAGTTGATTATTGATAAACTAGTTGGGCCGTTTGTCTGTTACCTAATACTGGGCCATTTAATTAGTTTAGTTTAGCCCATTTAGTTTGTTTGATCTGTTTCATATATACATGCACTTATATACATATAAATCTGTACAGAGTGTTTAGCGATCATTTGTAGAATATAAAAATTTCTCATCCTTGTTTTTTCCCTAAAATCGTCATGGTATCAAAGCACATGAGTTCAATCGATTACTGACTGATTACCGATCTTCTATTTCATTTGATTAATTTGATTTGTGATTTTGAATTCAACTGAGATCGATTTTCCACGCCTCGTACAGGTTCTCGGAAAACGCTGATTGATCGGAAATCACTGTTTGTTTGAGAAATTACACGATGAGTACAGATCTGTCACTCTCTTCTGGAAACACAACTAATTCATCCTTGGAAATCTCTTCCCATGATCAACCTAGCATGAGTCTTGTTCGTCTTCAACTCACGGAGACAAATTAGTTAATATGGAGCACAGTGGTCTTAAGAGCTCTCTTAGCAAAAGGAAGAAAGGGATTCGTGACTGGGGAAACTAAGCGACCTGAAACTCAATAGCTGCCCTAGAATGGGAAAGAAATGATGATATGGTACTTGGCTAGTTGTTGAATTCGATCTCTCCACAAATTATAGTTGCGTTCAGTCTCATCAAGACAAGTCATGAATTATGGGAGAAACTCAAACTACGCTATGGTCAACACAACGGCCCTCTCATCTACCAAAAGAGGAGAGAAATCAGTAGGCTCTATCCAGGTAATCTCTCAATGGCTGCATACTTCAATAAAATGCAGAATTTGAAAGATGAGCTGTCTTGTTTGGCACCCGTGCCATTTGATAGAAATGAAGTTGATCTGTATCTTCACAACCTAGATGCAATTGATTATTTGATGTGGTTAAATGGCAATTTTGATGCTTTAAGGAATCAAATATTGATGATGGATCCTTTGCCGGATGTAAACAAGATATATGGTATACTCTCAACTGTAGAGAAACAGCAAGAGGTACATGATATGTTAAAGGATCCTTCACCCAATGTGTTACTCGCTAACTCAAGAACCAGTGAAAGAAAGCCGGATAAGTCATTTAAAAGGAATTTGGTGTGTGATCACTGCAAGAGAAATGGACATGTCAAAGCTGAGTGCTTCAAACTTCACGGCTATCTTGAGTGGTATAAGGAAAGATTGGATAAGAAAAGAAGGGAGAAGGGTGAGGTTACATTGCAAGCAGGTGAAGATACGACATTAGCTGCTTCCTATAATGCTGGATTTAACTCTGCATTCAGCAGTACCTCATCTTCATTATCCAATGAAGCCTTAAGAGATCTGATACAAAGGGAGATTAGGAAAGCTTTTGAATCCTGCAAAACTCCAATTGAACAAATCAATATTTTCAGCACTCACCATACATGTACTGTTTGTCTCAATACATCTAATGAGGTGAATAAACTTAGAGGTTAGGTTCTTGACAGTGGAGCCACATGCCATATAGCTAATGACAGACGGTTATTTAATTGTTTGATACCACTTGATAATCCTATTAAAGTCTTCATGCCCAATGGAACAGTGCAGTTAGTAGAGTGGACAGGCACAATGAAATTGAATGAGAATATTACTTTTCTTGATGTCTATTTTCTCTCTACCTTTAAATATTGCTTGGTATCCATATACAGATTGTGCTTGTCACCAGAATTATCTGTGGTCTTCAAGAATAACCAGTGTTTAATTCATGACCATGATCATCATGTGCTTGGAAAAGGAGTGCTTGAAGGACAACTATTCTATCTGGAAGGTCACACCGATCAAGTGTGTGCTGTCAAGCTGAATACTCATTGGCATCAAAGATTATGACATCCATCCAGTTTGGTAATGCAGAAATTACTGTTTAACTCTACTCTTATGAATAAGGATGTTGCATATACTACATCTCTACCTTGTGATGATTGCAATTTAGCCAAAATGAGACATTTACCTTTTGGTTTCAGTGCTAATAAAGCTGATTCTTCCTTTGCCTTACTACGTCTTGATATTTGGGGCCCTTATCACTTAACATCTACTTGCGGAGCCAAATATTTTCTGACTATTGTAGATGACTCAATAGAAGCACATGGATTTTCTTGCTACCACTAAAGTCTCAGGTCTTGAATGTATTTGTTGTGTTCATCAAATTGATCCATACTCAGTTTAACTCCAAAGTAAAGAATTTGAGAACAGACTTTGGAGCGGAGTTTACTTCTCTGGCTTTCAAGAATCTATTACAAGAGAATGGAATTGCTCATTACAAGTCTTGCCCATATACTCCACAACATAATGGTACAGTGGAGAGAAAACATCAACACCTCATCTTCATTGCTAGAACCTTGCTTGTGCAAGCCAATCTACCTACTGAGTTCTGGGGAGAGGTTGTTCTAACAGCTACTCATTTGATCAATCTTCTCCCAAGTCCTGTGTTGAATTGGCGATCACCCTATGAGATCTTATATAACAAGAAACCAGATCTTGATGGACTGAAAGTGTTTGGTTGTCTGTGTTTTGTTTATAACAAAGATCCTAAAAAAAATAAATTCAGCAATAGAGGAGTTAAGGCTATCTTAATGGGTTATGAGAAAGGAATAAAAGGTTACAAAATTTTCATTCCCTCCACCAGACAGTTCTTGATCTCTAGAAATGTAGTCTTCTTTGAATCATTGTTCCCTGGATTAAATTGTCCTGCCGCTACCTCCAATTTTTGCCCTTCCCCAGTGGTTGGGACTGAGGACACAGAATCTTTGCCAGTTGATAAGTTCACCTCTACAGACACTCCATCCGTGGTTGCTGAACCTCAGTCTTCTGCATCTGGTATTCCTTCAGACACTCCATCCCATATTCAACTGACTTCTCAGGCTTCTCAATCCCTGGTTGTTGAACCTCGGTCTTCTACATCTGGTATTCCCTTTTCTCCTGATACAAATACAACAATTGCACTACCATCAGTGCCACCTTCTACACGGCCCCATAGGGAGGTTAAGCAACCTGGTTGGCTTCAATACTATGTCTGCATATGTACTAACACCAATGATGAGCCGATCTCTTATCTTGAAGCTTTGGATAACACCCATTGGATATAGGCTATGCAAGAGGAACTTGATGCTCTCGAATCAAACCATACAAGGGACATAGTTGCGAGGCCCAAAGAAAAAAAAAACTATAGGATGTAAATGGGTATACAAAATTAAGAGAGACAAATCAGGAGCAATTTCTCGATATAAAGCTCGGTTAGTAGCCAAAGGCTACCTTCAGGAACAAGGGAAAGACTTCAGTGAAAGCTTTGCACCAGTAACAAAATGCACTACAGTTCGACTGCTCTTAGATATCGGCATTGCTAAAGGTTGGTTTATACATCATATTGATGTTAATAACGTTTTTCTACATGGAACTCTTGAGAAGGATGTCTATCTCCAGCCTCCTCCAGGGTACTCAGTCCCCCCAAATCATGTGTGCAAATTGAGAAAATCATTGTATGGGTTGAAACAGGCTCCAAGGGTTTGGTTCCAAACTCTCGCAACTAAAGTTCTTGCCTTCGGCTTTAATCAGTCTCCTCATGATCACTGTCTTTTCATTCTTCACCGAGGTCCGGATATTCTAGCCTTGACAGTTTATGTGGATGACATTCTTCTTATTGGTTCCTCTGCGGGATTGATTAATGAAGTCAAGACCTATCTCCATGATATTTTCACCATTAAAGATCTTGGCGACGCCAATTTTTTCTTGGGCATTGAGATTAAACAGTCTTCCTCTGGTTTGATACTATCTCAACAACGGTATATCCTTGACATCCTTGAGGACATGGATATGCACTCTGCTTCGGCTGCTGCCACTCCTTTACCACCTGGGATCAAGTTGTCCGCTTTTGATGAGGAACCTTTGGATGATCCTACCTCCTACAGACGTCTCATTGGTCGTTTATTATATCTCAACTTCTCTCACCCTGATCTTACTTTCGCGACACAACAGTTAAGCCAATTCATGTCACACCCCACTTCTTGTCATTGGAAAGCTGCCTTGCATGTTCTTCGATACCTCAAGGGCTCAGTTAATTTTGGATTACACTACTGTGCCGATCCTGCATTGAATGTCACTGCCTTTGCGGATGCTGATTGGGGTGCTTGCTTGGACAGCCGAAAGTCTATCTCTGGCTATTGTATTTTTGTTGGGAACAATTTGGTTTCTTGGAAAGCCAAGAAACACCTACTGTCAGTCTCTCTACCGCAGAATCGGAGTACCATAATATGAGCTCGTGTACGAGTGAGCTTGTGTGGTTATCTTACATCTTTCATGCATTGCGCCTTGAGTTCCTTACCCCGGTACCACTTCACTGCGACAACCAGGCTATTATTCACATCACGGAGAACTCCGTGTTTTACGAACGGACCAAACATATTGACATCGCCTGCCACTTCGTCCGCCATTATTATGACAACAAATTTCTTATTCCCGTCTTCACGAACAGTGGTAATCAGTTAGCTGATATTCTCACGAAGTCCCTTTCTCGTGTGACTTTCGACTGGCTTCGCTCCAAGCTTTGCAATGATACGCTTGGCGCGAGAGGGGGGGTGATAAACTAGTTGGGCCATTTGTTCGTTATGGGCCATTTAATTAGTTTAGTTTAGCCCATTTAGTTTGTTTGATCTGTTGCATATATACATGCACTTATATACATATAAATCTGTACAGAGTGTTTAACGATCATTTCTAGAATAGAAAAATTTCTCTTCCTTGTTTTTCCCTAAAATCGTCAATTACTATTACATAAACCATTTGCATCACATATATAGAATAGTAAAAACTTTATTTAAAATTTCTTCATCCAGGGTTCCGAATCTACAAAGGCAGTTGTCCCTCTATTCGATAATTTGTTATTTCTACCGAATCTACAAAGGCAGTTGTCCCCCTATTCGATAATTTGTTATTTCTACCGAATCTACAAAGGCAGTTGTCCCTCTATTCGATAATTTTTTATTTCTAAAGATACATATATAGTCAATCACTGAGCGGGCTCAGGTTGTGATGCAGGATTGGCCGCTGTTTAAATCTCAGTAAAATGTAAGTTTATATTGTGGTAAAAGTTACACATAATGATTTAATGGAATGAAAGTCCCGAAGTTTTAATAAGATGTATTGCATGTGTGTATATATGTGTATACAAGCAGTATCTATCACCCCTATGTTATATATGTTGGATAATGTATCAATTTTTTGTTATTTTCATATATTGTGTACATATATCATATATTTAAATAACTAATAGTCGGAATGAGTTGGTAAGTGAATATAAAATATTATTCAATTCAATAAGAAATTCAAATTATCTTTTTTATAATTTACAACAAGTAGTAAAAACATGTGAGAAATAAACCAAAATATAAATAAAGGTAATAATTAACCAAATTAAAAAATATTTTTTCTCAATAAAAAAATATAATTGATAATGTTTTGATTGGACCATGTGGTCCAGAAACGTAAAATAGCTAAGGTCCTTTAAAGTAACATTACAATCAAATGACATCGAAAAACATAAGCTATAGTGAAATCATAAAAAAAGAAAAAAAAAAAAAAAAGATTGAGAGAAATAATACTTATTTTTTTTAAAGAATAGTTTTTTAAAATATTCAAGAAATTATACATATTTAAGGTTCATTCAATTCGATCTTAAAAAAAAATAGTTATGTTTTAGAAAAAATAAATAAATAAATAAGAAAAGAAAATTCTTAATTAGTATAAATAAATTTCAAAAATAAAAAAGTATAGTTAAGACTATTATGTCAATTTAGATATGCTTTTATTAGATTTAAGCCCATCATTCCGGTCCATCATTACCCAATCTGAAATTCTAATTGATAAATTGCAAGATAAAACACTAAT